ATCACATCTATCAAAGCCTATATCACTTTAGAACTCACCCTGAAATTCGTCCAGCCAATCAACTTGCCCGTAGTGCTCCGTTGCCAACACGCCCGTGTTGAGGAACACCAGCACAATGATGAGCCAGTAGAAGGCCTGGGATTTGACCGCTTTGCGACAGGCGCGACGCATGCGTCGATTCACCCGATCAAAGTCTTTTTTCATTTTGCGCCAACGTGACTCCGTGACTTGCATTTCGGGCATCTCTTCGCCCATATTTTCGGTGGAGTCCATGTCATTTGGCTGCTTGCTCTTGCCATCGGGCATCAGGCCACCCGTGGCATCGGGCTCGATGTCCTCGGCCTGGGTTATCCAGTCGAGATAGCCGCGCAGATCCTCTTCGATCTGTTGCTTTTCGCGCAACTTTTGAAAATCACCGCGATTTTTGGCCTTGTTACGCTCCTTGGAGAACTCGCCGGACAACACACCGAGAATCAAGTTCATCACGAAAAAGGCGCCCAAGATGACCATGGAAATGAAGTACATCCACTGCCAGTCGCTGCCCATGGCATCTTGTATCTAAATAGGGAGTACAAATTAAATATATATTCATTTCAATTGAGATTACTTCGTTTTCGACTACTTACATAATACAAGACGTCCGTCCAGCCCTCGAGTGTGACGCACTGGAAGACAGTCAACATGGCCAGTCCGAAATTGTCAAAGTTCGTAATGCCAGAGTTGGGTCCGGCCCAATTGCCGTAGCACTTCATGCCCTCGGGACAGAGTCTACCTATGCCACAGGGTCTAACATCTTCCTCGTATTCACCTAGATTCCGATTTATTTGTTTTGGGATTTTTTTTTTCATTTTTTTTTTTTTTTTTTTTTTTTCGTTAGGTTTCATGCATTAGTTGATGAGTTGTACTATGTGAGATGAGATATGATATGATATATGCGGATGATAATGTTTATGATTCATTGTGCTGTTGTTTTTGTGTTTGTGTGCTGTTTCTGATTGGGTTTTTGAATTGCGGAATATGACGCTCAGTAGTCCCATGTATATAAAATTTCAACAGCTCTATTGACTAGTAGATTAGCTTATTAGCTCGGCGAAAATTGGACAATATATATAAAAAATATATATAAATATAGATAACTATATATATGTTTATATATTTGTGTGTGTTTGTGGGTTTTTGCTAAATATTTTTGGCATATCTTTCTTAGTATGGATGTGTGGAAACGGTGTTCTAATTTGTTCTGAATGTTGTTGTTATTGTAACTGTTGTGGCTCTAATTGGGTTGTGTGCTTGTCCGCAAAACCGTGCACTAATCTACTAGTAATAGAGCTACAGGACGTTGAATTTTAATGCGACATATCTGGTAGCATTCAAGACATTGAATGATATTCGTACAACGTATAAAGATTGTACTGTTTGTTGTTTTTTTAGTTTTGATATTAACGCTTACCTGTTACCTCATCTCGACACGTCTTATGCAATTTACCAGAGAATAGCTCTAGACCAATAATGGCATAGATTATGATAACGAATATGACCAGAAGTGCAATGTGAAACAGTGGCACCATGGCCTTTAAAATTGAATTAAGCACAACCTGTAGACCTGCGAAAAGCGTTTGAATAGCCAATAGACAATTTACGTATGTTTAGACAGGAGTAAACAGAGTGGTTGCTTGGGGTTTACAATAACATCAAGTGCGGCTTACACTACACATACACAACAAAAGCTTATTATGATGCACAGAAATGAATAGTGAGAGAGGTCGAGAGAATTTAGTTTTTGTAACTAAAATGATATATTTTATATATATTTAATTATTTTATTTTCTTCGAAAAATTTTTATATGATTTTTTTTTAATCTGTTAAGAATTTAAAATATTTTTATTCAATTGTATGTTTATTTATTTATTTATAACTTATATAATTTAACTATTTTTTAACTATGAACTTTTTGTTTATTAATTTTTTTTTTTTTTTTTTAATATAAATTTTTTGTACTTTTTTTAATATTTTTTAACGGACCACAGAAATTTTCAAAGATATAACATTTTTTATAAATTATGAAATACAAATAATTTTAAAAATTTATATATATATTTTTTTTGTTTTTGCCTTTCCTTAATGGTAAATAAAATGGTTGCAATATTATTATACTTTTATCAAATCTACTAAATATTTTTCTACTTTAAATATATTTCTTTTATTTTGCACGCTCTCGACTTCTTTTCTGTATAGCATCTTAACTACGTTAATGGACCGTAGTTTATTCTTTAATTTGCACTACAAGGACATAAATGGATTCTTTTTATTTTTATAAATTTGGATTCGTCGCATTTGTGTGTTATTTTTTCGGTTTTCGTGCAGAAAGCTCTTACTTGGTACACCCGATACAAGTCGCAGTGGACGCAGCACACGAAAGGCTCGTAGCGCTTTCACATCGAAGGCATCCTTCATCAGATGGGACAGTGCTGTACTTATCGCTCTGTAAAAATGTGATTTGGCACAGACAATTTCATACGTGTCTCAGTTTCGATTGAATTGGATATAAGGTAACATAGAAAATGGTTAAAACTAGGCCGAATATATATATATTTTTTGGCCTGGGCGCTCAACGCTTTTAACTGGCATATTTTATATGCTTACCCTATAACTACAATTGTAAAATCTAATAAATTCCATCCATTTCTTAGATATGCACCATTATGTAACACAAAACCATATGCTAAAATCTTCATAACACATTCCGCCGTGAATATAACTAGGAATATATATTCAACTTTTTCCTAGTTTTGGATTTTTGTAATTTTGTTGGCGTTTCGTGTGTGCCGATGTGTGTGTGTGTATTATGATATGTTTGCATGATATGATTGAATGATATGATATGATTGAATGAGAGTTGATTTAATGAGGCGTGGTGATACATAAAAGACAGACGAAAGAAATATAGATATTTATATATTAATAAACCATAATATCAGCTGTATTCAATTAAATAGTTGAGGCTCTTTGAGTAGACCCCATCTCACTTACCAAGGTTTGATTCGTCACATTCGAATCGCTGCCCGGATAAGGCGTATAAACGGCCAAGGCAATACAATTGGCAAATATGGTTAACAAAATAAGGAACTCAAATGGTCTAGAGATTGATTTCAGTTAAGGAAAATCAGCATGGTTTAAAATTGTATAATGATTAATGTTTAAACAAAACAAACATTGAATGTATAATAAAGTTATTTTTATGCATTATGAAACAAGTTTATTAGAAGCCTATCCAACAAAGCTCTAAAGTGTTAAGTAGAAACTTGTAGCGCCTTCTTCTAGTTCTAGATGAAAACTCGAACAACAGAACCTCTTGCTTTTACTTTCCGTTTCACACTGGTATTTATTGCTCTCCGTTGCAGCGGGCTCACAATAGAGTATCGAGAGAGAGAGCGCGACCAGTGAGAGATTAGTGTACCCACTCTCACAAACACAAGCTCCCACAGTTAGAAGACTCGAAGTGTCACTCAATCGTGTCACACTCCAAATTACAAATACTACTTATACTCATAGCCTCACAAAAAACTGTAAACTTTCTTACTCTTTATGCTCTGTCCGCGAAAAGAACCGAACAAAGCATAAGCAATCCCTCTCGCTCTGATCAACAGCTTTCGCCTGTTTTCGATATTGCTTTTTGTTGAGCGCCTTCGTGTGACGCACTTTTAAGCAGCATCGTTTAGGTAGCAAAACAATTGACACTCACACTCACACAAGTGTCAATTGTTTTGCTACCTAAATCAGAATCAGTATGAGCCGAAATAACTCAAAAGCAATGCAAAGGGCCTTCACATGCACACACATACACTATCGATGTGATTAGTGTTGCCCTATTTCTAAAGCAGAAAATGCTAGATCTAGCAGAAAAGACAACTAAGAAAGCTGTATCGTAATATTAGGACATTATCTGAGATTTTATGTAATATATGCTTGCATATGTGTATTCTCACTTATTTTCTCAAAAATAAAAAAAATGCGAAATTTTCACTCGCTCTTTGACTTCTAAAAAGAACCCGATCTGATGGGAAAAAAACTGAAGTGGCATCAGTGAACAACACAGCACTTGCATAAATACAGATCAATACATGCACAACAGACTTTTTGCTACATTTAACTCAACCTAACGGTCGGGAAAAAAACACTCGTAGAACCAACGCAATCGGTGGCTGTCTGAGTTTTTTCTCAAAGTGTGAGTGTTCAAAGACATCACTCAATCGTGGGCAAGCATTAAGAAACGCTCAACAGTTATTTGAGAGCAGTGCTCATTCTCTCTTTGTAACACACACATATACATACATAGAAAGTACATTAGGAGAGCATCAACTTGATCATAGTGCGCTTGCTTATCAAAATGCTCAAAAAGTACTCAAACAAGAGGTGTTCATATTGAACCATTTTACAGCCTAAAATAAGCTCTTAGAATTTATGATCCCCTTTATGTTTACTCAAAAAAAGGATACTTCCATTCCACGATGCGTATGCAAAGCGCTCGAATAGGATTCTTGAGGCCCAGGCAGAAGAGCGCTCTTTGTGGTCGATCCGGCTGTGGCTTGCCGCGTCGCTGCGGACGTTTTTGGCCGGCGGCGCCAGCTTTTTGTCCACCGCCGCCGCTGGGTCCGATTGTGGTGCCGTTCATAGTTTCCGGAATGTTTGCAATGCCCATGGAATCGATGCCTGTACAGGTGGGAGGCAACAGGTGTGTGGCGGCAGGTGATGGGGCATTGATAGCGATAGTTAGCGGCTCAAAGAGCGAATTAGTGAGGTACTGAGGAGATGGTGAACTTACCCATTATGTTGTTGCCGCCACCCATATCCGCTTGCGGATTATGGGCACTGGACATGTCGCCGCCAACGGCGCCAGCGCCTCCATTGCCATTGGGCGTGAAGGTGCCTCCGCCGGCGGCGCCTCGCTCAAAGTCCATGATGTTGAAATATTTACCGGCTCCGCCGCCGAAATTATCGATCAGCTCCGCGGAGCTGGAGTAGAAGGGTGAGAATGCTTGAGTGTTGTCCTCCTCCTCTTCGTAATACTCGTCAGCCTCCTCGTCGTCGTCGTCGTCGACCTCCTCGTCGTCGTCGTGATGCTGATAGTCGTGTTGCTGCTGTGCCAGCTGCTCCTGATCATCAATATCAATGGTTGTGCCCTCGGGCTCGTCTTCTTCGTCGTAGTCGTCGTCGTCGTCGTCGGTTATCTCAGCGCCGTCGTCGTCCTCCTCGGTTATTCTACATGTCCTCCGTATGGAGGGCCGTTGGTTGCGTGTATTCCTTCTTACAATGACATCCGCATTGTCATCAACATCGCCAACATCCTCGAGCGAATCGTTTCCACTGCGCACTGCACCTGCAATAATTCGAATCTCATCGTCCGCATCATCATCCGCATCCTGTCGCCGCTCACTGAGGCTCTCACAATCGGTATTGCCGCCGCCAGCAGATCCTGCTGTGGCTGTGGCTGAGGCAGCTGCTCCCTGCTGCTCCTTGGCTGCTGCCGCAACGGCGGCAACAATGGCCGCTGTGCGCAAAGTCTGTGAACTGACGTCAGCTGCGTCCGGATTATCCGGATCGTCGTCCTCGTCCTCCTCGCAGTCGTCGTCGCCTATAAAGCTGCTGATGTCGCCAACGCCAAAGCCATGCAAGGTGCTGTTGTCGCCGGTGATGTCGCAGTTGCAACTGTTGCTGCTGCTGCTGTCGCCGCCCACGGCACTGTAGCTGCTCTCCTCGTCCCGGGCGCCGCTGCTGTAGCTGCTGTTGGTGCTGCCAGCGCTGGTCACACTATTCTGCGGCTGCTGTTGCCAGCCAAGTGCCGCTGCCGCAGCTGCTGCCGACTGCGCTGCTGCTGCAGTCGCTGCTGCCGCCGATGGCGCTGCTGCTGCTGCTGCTGATGTTGCCGCCTCCTCTGGCGTGAGACGTTGACTGGCGGTGCCGCCGCACGAATTGCAGCTGGACTTGCGTCGCTGCCGTTTGCTGCCGCCGTTCGACGAGTGCGCTTCGCTGCCGTTGTTGTTGTTGTTGTTGTTGCTTTTGTGTCGACGCTGCTTGAAGTCAAGCTTATAGGTCGTATTGTTAACAATCTGGCTAGTGACCGTGCTCAGCGCAAGTTCGGTATTGTTGGCAGCCGCACGGATTCGACTGGAGCTGCTCGCTGGGGTCTCCTCGCTGAACGCAATTACCTCACGGGGACTGCAGCTGTGGTGTCAATCGGGATAAAGCAAAAATAATGTACTTTAGTTGAATGCTCTCAATATGTATGTATGTATGTATATATTCATACTCAATCTAAATACTCATTGGATGCAGTTGCTAAATAATACATTTTTACTAGAAATTTTACAACGGTTCGGCGAGGAGGAATTACAATACAAATAAAATACTTGTTGACACGGGCTAACGACGATCCCGAATACCTTTTGATACCTAACATATATTATATAAATAATACATATATATTCAATATAGATTTTCCTGACAAAAAATATCCTCAGCATGTGTTTTACTTGTTGTCAGTTTTAGAACTGTAAATTCGCTGAAAAATCTGCATTTATATAGAATATATATACAGACAGCAATTAGAAAAGTCCAGATATACCCAGTATCATGTTAAGAAATTTGTAGGCTTTAAAGACTTTTCGATATTGGGCCTTAAATTGTTGGGGAACTTTTAGACGTAAGACTGAAAATTCAACATTTTGAATATCCCAATTCACAAAATGATAGCCATGCAATGCCATGAATTGTCCATGATTAAGATACGACAAAAATAAGTAAGTTATAAATAATTATGTCTAAATTAAAATAATTTCGAATACTTAAACATACAAAATAATAGATAACCATAACGATAACATATAAATAATAAATAATATATACATACATAGAATAAATTAATGCGTAAAATTATTCTTTTAACATTTGGTACAATTTCTAAATAACAATTTTAACAAGTATTATATAAATTTATAAAATATAAATTAATAAAATATTTAACAAAATGAAAAAATAAGAGAGCGTAAAAAAGGTTTATGTATAAATTGAAGATAGTATACATTTTAAATAAAATTAAAACAAACTTTAATAAGAAATTGAGCAATTTTATTACATATTATAATAATAATATTTAAAATTGTAGAACTGAATATTACACATGATATTGTAGTAAAAATTTTTATAATAGTTTAATAATTCTAAATAAAATTAAAAAAAATATAAATCAAATTAAATAAAAAATTTGATATGAATTATTAGTTAATAATATATTATTAATTTAATGTAATATATATGTACATATATACATTTTTAATTCAAGTATTAAAAACATAAAATTAAAGAATAGATAATTATAATTATACCAAAAAGGAATATTAAACGAAGTTTCCCATTATATTATTCTTAATATGAATATATTTTCATTAAGAAATTTCATATTTATATTAATTTCTATTAATTTAATATCAATTCGTTTTTATTTTGAAAATGTGCTAGATATTAACTATACGAATATATAAAACTGACTTTGCATTATTGTCTTTCCCTCTCTCCCCTATTCTGTTATTCCCATACCTAAAATCCCTATATTTATACATACATACACATACATATATATATATATATATATATATTTATCCTAGATCATATGCTATAGCATGCTTCGAGCATGCTTGACTTATGCACAAAGAGTCACAAACACAGCAGGCACATATAAACTGGCACAGTGGGACAAGAACAGAGATTTACAACACATATTTTACGATAGTTAGTATACGATAGTTATTGAGGTTAGTTTTGGGGGTTGCTTTTTGTTTTTGTTTTTGTTTTTTTTTTTTTTTTTGGTTGTTATCGTTGGCTAACTTACTATGCCCTAGAATTCCTAGAATTTGTATGTTCCAAATAATCAAAGTCTTGGATTGCATTGTAAATGAATTTAGTATCGTGCTCCAGCTGGAGCTGCATATACCTTTGTTGTAGCACAGTGGGACCTGTTGTTGTTGCTGCTGCTGCTGCTGCTGCTGCTGTTGCTGGAGTTGTTGCTGTTGCCAATGTTGCTGCTGATGTTGCTGGCACCGGCAACGTTATCGTTGGCGAGCGATGCTGATGACGATGCTCGGGCTTGACAACTATCACCTCCAGCTCACTCCTGGCTGTGCTCGACTTGCGATTGTATTTGCGACTGCCGCGGGTTTGTGTCTCCGCTTTCATATAGCGTCTGGCTGAGGCCGGCGAAGTGGGCGATGGCTTGCGCTCGATTATGAGTGTATTATCATCGTAGGCTATGCAGTTGACCAACTCTCCGCCACCCATTGGACTGGTCGTTGTGGCAGTTGTTGTTGCTGTTGTTGTCGCTGTGGCTGCTGCTGCTGTCGGCTCATCGCTGTGGTCATAAACTTTCGCCTCCTTCTGCCGCTGAAATTGTAGCTGACGTCGACGCTGGGATGATGAGGTTGTTGCTCCATTGCGCGAGCTGTTGCTGTTGCTGCTGCTGCTGCTGTTGTTGGCTGGCTGCTGTTGTTTGTTCAGGCATGATTCATCAGTGGAGCTGGGTGACAAATCTTTGCACGCGTCTTTAGCTCTATCCTTATCCTTAGCCTTATTGTTATTGTTTTTATGATTTAATTTATTACTAGAACTATCCAAGGCATCGTATTTGTTAATTTGTTGTTGCTGTTGTTGGTGTTGCTGTTGCTGGAGCTGTTGCTGTTGTTGTTGCTGCTGGTATTGTTGTTGTTGATCCTGGGCTGTTGGCGATTGTTGCTTTTGCTGCGTTGACGTTGCATGCTCCTTATGTTCTCCTAATTTTAATGCGTTCACGATTAATGTTAATGCGCAATTTAATTAGTTTCAGTTATTATGTGATTTTTATGAGTTTGTGTGCGAAATATATATGTGAATATAGATCTGTTATTTGATTGCTAAAGAAATAAAACCTCGATGGGCCATAAATTCCCTAGAACTATCCTATAATCAATAGAAGGCATCGATAGCTGAGTTAAGTAAGCGGTTAATATGCCCAAAATTCAATATACAGGGTGTTTCAGTTGAAATATCTAATAATATTGGAATATGAGTTCTCTGAAAGCTAAAAAGTAAAGAAAAAAGTAAGCTAAAAAAATAAAAACTAAATAACTATGCCATCGTTAATCATTTTGATAATTATATTCTAGTTGTTAAATTATAGTTTTGATTAAAGACCATAAATTTGGCTATTTTTGTTTTTAGTTTTAAATTTTCTTTGCCAGATCATAAATCAAATAAATATATATATGCTTATTTGCTGAAACAGTTAAAAAAGCCTAGACAACAATTTCGTTCGGCTAAAATCGAAATGTATAAAAATTCTTTACCATTTGGTTTATTATTTATGTATAGTCAAAATTATAAAGAGAGACATACTAAAATTCTGAATTATGACAAAAATGGTATACTTTAATATTAAAATTATTTCGGGTCTACAACAAATCCTTTAAAATTGAAAAATTAAAATTTGTAAAAATCAAAAAAGTATTTTAATAGCCAAAATTAAAATAGCCGAAAAATATATGTGTGTTTTTTTCCTAAAAAAAATGTTTATTATTAAAAAATCAATCGATATATTACAGACTTTTATTTCATAGCTAATTAAATTTCTGATGTAACAGAATGTATTTAATTTAAATTTATTTATTTATTTATTTTTTTTTTTTTAAGATATATAGTATAAAAATAATAAAAAGAGCTACCTATTCAATTGATTGCTCTGTTATATGAATTATTTAAAGAGTTTTACAAAATATGAATTTTTATTATAATTTTGTGTTCTATTTTTTGTACAATTTCTTTTTAATTCACTATTAGATTTATCGTTCAGGTGTCTTTTAGAAAAAAATACTTCCAAATAAACAACAAATCTGGAAATAAATAGAATGCCCTAAAATTATGCTGAAAAGCTATTAATTTTTATAAAAATATGTATATTTACATACGTTTTCTATCAGCTTCATTAGTTTAACATAATCAACTATCAATACCCCATTATACTTTAAAATGAAAATGGAAATGAATTTTCTAGAGAGTTTACATATAAACTGCTTATCAGCGTCATTCAATGCCCTCGGCGAACATATCAATCTTCGATTGTGTTTAATGAACGATTGTCAATTGACAAAGTTTGATGAATGTGTTGGGCGATTCGATAGTCGATGGGGCGAGTGAAAATGTGAATATTACGCATACGCCATGTCATTTGGTACCTGTATTCATATTTGAAGTTTCCTTCCCACGACAAAATTGATTTTTGCTTTCATTCACTTTGCTGGCTAGAACGACTCTATACAAAGGCGGTCAACAACAGCCGTCCAACAGGTGTGCCAAGTCTCAGTCTTCCATTGACATATGCCCGCATGCAAATGGTATGCTCTCTCACTCTCTCTCTCTGTCTCTCTTGGTCTTTCTCTCTCACTCACGTGCTCGCTCACTGTGGCTGGCTCACACTCATGCTTCAGCTGCTCAACAGCTTTCAGTTGGGTTTATTTACTTGATTTCTTTCTTTTATTATGATTGTTATGTATTATTTATTATTATTATTATTATTAATATTATTTTTATTATTTATTTTAGACGGTGGTGCATTTGTTGCTATTTGGACGTTTTGTGTTCTTGTTGTTGCTTTAAATTGTTTACTAAATTATTTAAAATTTGGCATTTGTTGAAGTCTGTTATCAGTTTTGTATTTTTGTGGGAGGGGGTTCGGTGCAGTTGATTAACGCTTTATTTTAATTATTGATTTATTTTCCTGTGGCCTGTTCCTCCTTATCAGCGTATTCATTAGAATTATCGAATTTTGTTTAGTTCCAGGCGAATGGCATTGCCTTTTATGCTGGCTGATAACTTATCATTGATTGGCGCTCTATATATAAAATGGAAACCCTTGACACAGTCAGTCCATGTGTGCGTGTGTGTGTGTGTGTGTGTGTGTGTGTGTGCGTGCGCATCAAAACAAAAACATACGCAATGTTTACATTTTCTTTGTTGTCGCAACAATTTTTTGGCCAAACCGAACTGTCAAATGGGCAATCAACTTTACAAGGCTCTCTCATGCACGCACACACACCAACACTCTCTCTGACTACTCTTTCTCTCTCTCTCTCTCTCTCTCTCTCTCTCTCTGGCTGTCACTCTCTTTGCAGCAAAAGCACCGTCAAGCTTTGCAGCAGCCATCCAAAAAGTTTCTAGCCAAATGCCAAACGAAGGCTTTTTTTTTGTCTCTGTTGGCTTTCATTGAATGACAGCTACTCCAGTGCTCTACTGCCCCGCCCACTCCGCCCGCCCCGCCACGAGCCGCACTGGCATTCGTCACTGAAATTCAAGTTGCTTAAAATGCCAACCGCACTCCGACGGCCGACGGGGGCGTAGTGGCTTGTCGTTTGGCATTTAGTCGTATCGGGGTCAAGTGCGCGAGGCTATAAACTAATTTGCGCGTTTATCTAATGAGTCGCTGGGGAAAATGCATAGCACAGTTTTCAGCGCCCGCAAGCATTTTCCTGGAACAGCAAATGCTGACCGATTGACCTACCCAGGCATATGTAATAAGCACTCACACGCACACACACAGCCATACAGAAACATGCACATGCACAACACACACACTCTTGCACACACACACACGTGTGAAAAATTTCAGACGCAGTTCTTCGTTTTTTTTTTTTCTTTTTTTTTCATTCTTTTTTCACAGCAGCCAAGGCAATTGAGACCGTTTAACACTTGAGTTTGGCTTTATCTTTGAGCATTCTTAACGGGGCCTTACATTTGCATTATCTGGTCACGAATCGTATTATTATCGGTTTAGTATTTGTATTATTATTTTTCAGCAACGTGAACGCGTTTAAGGAATCACACACAAAAGCACACTGTGCAGCCTTTGTTAGCTTTTCACGTGGCAACCGTGAAAATGTGTTGATATACAACGAGCTGAGCTTTCGCAAGCTCCGAGAACTTTCACTTTATCGATTGCTGTTGAATTGCCCGTTGGCTTAGGCAGCTGGGTTCAGGCAGTCACTTGAGGGGTTGCTGTAGCTGATAAGGATATTTAGGAGCAGCTGTTTTGAATTCAGACTTTGAGTTTGAACTATTGAAATTATTTTGAGGTGGAATACATAATAGAAAAGTAGACAAAGATATATACATAAATATTACAGTATTTATTGAAATCCAAGGCAATTAAATGAAAGTGAAAGAGTATAAAAAGTTTAGAGTTTTAATCAAGCGTGTTTTTTTTTTTCATAAAATACCAGTTTTATTCCCGAAACCCCGGATATTTTAATTTTAATTTTCATTCATCTAACTGATCCAGTCCATAGCAGCGCAATTTATAAACTCATTTGATAATATAAAATCTATACTAGAAACATAACAATTTCAATTCAACACATGGCCTTTTTTTTTATTCTAAAGACAGCAAAAACACAAAAAAAAAACTGAAAAAATCAAAAGAATTCAGATCAAAACATCGAGCTTTGTTTACAAACAAATTGCGATAATATAAAAAACACGCACACCAAATATTACTCCCACATATTCAGTTTTGCTTCAGAATGATTTTCGTTTCCAAACACGTTTATGCCACTTTTTATATATGTATATATAATAAAATTAGCTCTGATATATGTATTTGAACAGATCTAACTCTCTCGCTCGCACTTGCATTTGTTGTTAAATGCGAAGTGAACAGCTGTTCGTGAGCGACGCATGCGCCGCAAGCTTTGCTAGTTGCTTTGACAGTTGCTGAGAGAGAGACTAAGAGGGAGAAAGGATGAGAGAGATAGAAAGAGAGAGAGAGAGCGCTCGTACTCGCTTGCTATCGTCAAATTGTGTTTGACACTTTTAGGGTCTCAAAAAGAAATTTCGTTGATTATTTTTCTTTTTGCTTCTAGCTTTCGCCTTTCGCCTTTCACAGCTGAGTCATCAGCGCTGTTTCCTTGACACTTGGCAATAAATCGTGCGGTTTCTACAAAATTTGCTAATGAGCCACATCCGGCTGGAAATTAGGTGCGGATCAGACTTCCTACAGTTTTCTTCTCCCTTTTTTTTTTATTAGTGTGAATTAGGGAAAACAAATGTTAAGAAATCTGCAGAAACGATTCAGCTCTGCCCATTAATATTATTAACGTTATGTTCGAGCGTGTAAGCAATTTGTTGAGCAGTCAGCGAATTTCTTTAAGAAATTTTCATAGACCAAGCTGTTGAATGTTTAAGTGTAATTGCTTTTTGGCTTTGTGCACAGTATTTTCTATTCTATCCGTTAACACTGCTCAATGCAGGTTTTCTAAAAACAACATAAACATTTGCCTATTTAGTTGTAAATAAAATGAAATATATATTTAGTTGCAGACAGCATATATTTAGGGTAAATTCAGAAAACTATAAAATGAAATAAAAGAGTCAAAGTATATATGTATATCTTAGAGAAATATATTGTATTTAACTTACATGACTAAAGCTACCTTATACCCATTTTATTTAAACAATAATCTTCTTCGCTATGTTATTTAATTTAAATTATCTTTGCTAATTTCATTCTATGTTTTTATTGTTTTTTTTAATCATTATTGTTTTGGTTATTCTCAAATTTATAACTGTTGTGGAATAATATAAAATATTCCACTATGTATATAAATTCTACAAAAATAAGAGAATGGCTCCACAACAAATTTCGTTAATATAACTGCAAGATTATATATTATTATCTTAATTTCGCCTATATGTTTATTTTTATTTTTAATAAATCTTAATATTATCTAGCCTGAAAGTCTTTGTTGCTCTGGCCTTAATCTAAACTGTTTAAAATTAATTCTCTGTAAGAAATAAATAAATTAATTAATTTGATGTATATTTAATTAATTTTTCCATATATCAATATTCTTTTCTATTTGTGCTTGTAATTATATCAAACATTTTTAATTATTAAAAACAAAATTGTTTTGCAGACTTTTTACAACGTATATTAATACTATATTTCAAACATATTTATATTATATATTTATTACTTATATGTGTTATATATACTTTCATCAAATAAAAAACAATTTTAATATCTTATATATTTTTCTTTAAATATTCGCACAGATTTTGATTAGCTTTGAAGGCCAGCTATAGCCAAATAATAATAAAAATTTAATTGTATATCAGATTTTATGCGGCTATATAGCAAAAAGAATTTGGTTTAGCGGCATTTTTGGCTTAGTAACTGTATCGAAGAAACTGTGGTTATTGTGTGTGCGACGCTTCACATGTTTGAATGAAAAATGTGTTGCTAAATATTATTGAAAGCAACAGAAAAACGCCAGCGAGCTGCCAGCAAATGACAGGCAGGGGACGCAGAGAGGTGTGGGAGGGAAGGGGGGAGTATATGGGAACGGTTGGGGCCGGCGTTAGTGGGGTAATTCATTTAGTTTGCTTGGGCATGATGCTGCTTGCGGCTCTCCTTGCCCGCACTTCTATATTTAGATCAAGCACACGTAGTTGGATCTGTCGATGCGATCGTCTTGTTGTTGCCATTGTTGTTATTGTTGTTGGCCCCGATTCTCAGTAGCCAGCAGACAATGAAATTAAATTTAGCTTAATTGAATTGCCTTTAGGCCAACAACCATAACAATAACAACAACAACAACAACAACAACTAAAACTATTAAAAATTATTGAACCGAAAATTCATAAATGCATTGCAAGCACTAAACAAGATTTTCGAATATTCGATGAGGCCAAACAGATGCTGCATTCCAAATAAGTACATTAAATATATAATACAATAGATACATATATTGTAAATAGCTGTTCGCATGTTCTACATTTTACTTACACGATATCAATTCACTCCCTCGTGGCAGCAATAACAACAAAAGAATTTATTCGGCTGTCCGTCCAAATACAAATCCGAGCCAAAGGCATGGGCCAGCACACAGCATACGTGGCGTTGATATTTTTAACTCTACGTATTCTTCTTTATTTTGTATCTTTTTATTTTTTATTTTTATGCGAACTGATGATTTTATATTGATTTTTCGCTAGCTAAGAAATGGATATTTCTTCACTGTAATATTATAAATTAACAATTGTGTTGCAATTTGAACAAAACCACAAAATATGAATAATTCTTGAATTATTTTTAATGCTTGCCAAAATATTTTATATATGTGATTATGACAGCGCACTGCATATGCTTAGTATTAATATATTGCATCTATATATACATATATATCACTGAAACACTTTAAACTTTTTGGATCGATTTTATAGTATTGCTCAGTTGAAATTGAATTTGAAATTGATTTACCAAAATATGACTCAATTTTGTTGGTTCGGAAAATCCCGTTTAACTTAATAATATATAATTTTTGCTATTTTTCCTTCCTTCTTTTCACTTCACCCGCACAGAGCATATACTTTTTGTGTGTGTAGCTTAAAAATAAATCTGAACACACACACGGGCGCGTTGCGCGGCGGTTGGGAGAACGCGAATGCGCCGAGCCAACAGACCAAATAACGCCAACGATCAGCCGAGAACTGTCAGTTGATGGGGCGAGATCTTTTCGTTGCTCCTCTTTTAGTATTTTTTAGTATTTATTTGGAATATGCTAAAAATTGGAATTATTTAGGTGATTTATGAATTAAATTTTTATGAAGAAGTTGTATAAGTTATTAATTTTCAATATTATTTTTTTTCTATATGAAGGAAATTATAGATATGTAAGCTAAGTAGTTTGTTGTGAAATGTGTTTGAATGACTATCGATCTCTTTCTTTTCCTCACTTACCACCTCTTCACCAAGCTCTCATTCTTTCTCACTTTTTCTATCCCTCTGTCTTTTCGTGTCTCTGTCTTCCTTGACTCCCTTGAGTGGAATTAAATCCAAGAATATTTATATTTTAGCGAATATCTAGATAAGTCGACCAGCTTAGCTCATGCCAATAAATCATTCAGCTAACGCTTTTCATTCAGCTAACGCTTTTTCAGTGTCTGTCTCTCTCTATCTTTCTCTCTCGAACTAATTCTCCTTCTATCGCTTAATGTGCTTTCTGTTTCCATTTCATCGACATTTTTATTGTATATATTTTTTAAATTTCTTCTTCTACATTTATTTTATATTTTTTCAGTCAAACAAATTTTTCTTTCTATAAAACTTTCATAATCCCAACCTAAGCTCTATAGGTTTATATTAATTATGGCGATAAAAATCGTAGCCAAGTAAATGAAATAAGTTTTATATCTAGTGCAAAAAAGAGTATATCTCTCTCTCGCACAAAGCACAAAACAGCGCAAGCTTTTAGCAGATAACAGAACACCAACCCTGTGCTTTTCGTGCAGAAAGCTTTCCGTCGCTGAGCTTTTTTAATAGGCACCTAACCTATCCCTTAATTTTTAGCCTTTCCATTGCAAAGGGCTATGTATGATGCTATTAAGCTATTATATTATTAAATAATTAATAGACTTAACTAGCTTACATTGATATTAAGCACTATTAATATATTAAGTAAAGTCTTTGGGCCGCTACCTAAGGTTGGCGTTCATTAATTTAATGAACAGCCACACATATACATACATATGTGGATATACATGCGTGTATATTTGTATATATGTGTATATGTTTTTTGGGCGACTATAATAATAATCATATTTTCATTTACCTGGCTTCCGATTGCCTGGGGGCTGCCTGCTTAAATCTGTGTAGCATGCACAAAAAACTTTCATAATTACCAACTAAAACAACAACAGCGCAGCAAAATCTAAATGGCAATACCCACAAACACAGTCACACATACAGAGAGACAAATAGAGAGGGCGAGGGAGAGGGTGAGAGAAAGGGAGTGTGAGAGAGAGCTCACATAAACATATAAAAACAATATTTATGT